TAGCAACGACACATCTGCACATATGACTTCTACTTATTTTTGATACAAATGGAACTAAGGATGATTCCCTACAGTTTTAACAGATTGTCTAACGGAAGTTACGGTAAATCATGGATGGACCAAAATTTCCTTCACTTGAATCAAAATAAAACTCAAGTTTCTGATCACTTTTCTGTTAGGAATCTTGGTGTCATTTTGACAGTTGTTTGAAATTGGATAAGCCGATTAACTCTGTTGTGAAATTAAGATTTTTTTTCATCTGTACCTTGCAGCCAAGGTACAATCTAGCTTCTGTACTAAAGACTTTGAGAAACTTGTCCATGTCTTCATTACGATGCACATAGTATGTCTTTCTGTCTTGACATGGACTTTTTTCATTTACTTTCATTCATTTTTTAGTCATGTCTATAGCTTAACCCTCTCCTTTACCATAAACCTAACTGTTACCAGTACATGTTTAACCTTGAGCTTAACCTAAAATCAGTTAACACCTTAGTCCCAAACCTAACCCACAACTTCAAAAACAGCACTTTTTCTTTAGATCATATGAGGAGCAGTCATCCTCACTATGTAGTTTTTGTTGGGAAAATGGGCCTTGCAAGGTGAGACATGCTAAAAAATACACGAGAGTATTGATAAATTTGCATGGTGACTAGACATTTTAAACCTAAATAATAAACCATTTAAAGTGTATTAAGCTGTTGTCCAGTAGGTGTTTAATTGGAAGTGAAGGTCTCAGAGCCTGAACTGAACTGGGAGCAGAATAGGAACATGAACGCCTCAACATCCAGATAAAAGTCGTCTTGCTGCAGCCTCGGGGCTTTAATGCCTCAGACTGTACAGGACGGAGCAGTGATGAAGTAAAAATAGGTCAAAATTCTGCTCTACAGAGGCTTATGGAGAGAGGCAGATGATGATGATGATGATGATGATGACGGGATGCAACAAAGCATAAATGATAATCTCATCCGGTGCGATCAGAAGCTGGTAGGCAGACCGGTTTCTTAGCCATGGCAACCGGAATCCTCTCTTCCCTGTGAAAGGGGGTCGGGGGGGCGTTTCACCGCCTGGCCGGCAGCAACGTTACCAGAAAAAAGCTGATAAATGGCGGGTTGGACCTCAGTGTTCTCAGCCTGGCTGCTTGCTTGCTAGAAGTGTTGAAGTGGACGCGGTGCTAGCTCCGTTGCTAGGCTCAACTGACAGCCTAGCGACGGCTGAAAGTTTGTTGTCCCGAACGGTCACCCGACACTGCGCAGACCCCCCAACAGGTGACGACCCGACGGCTGCCGTGTCTTTATTTATACAGCGGTGTGGCCCGTTTCAACTAAGTGTGCTGTTGGAGGCTCCCCCTGACTCACCTCGATCCATTTCTGCGCCTCCAGGCAGGCTGGCTCGGGATGGCTCGGCTCGGGACCGGCCATCAGTGGGGGTGCGTTGGGAATTCGCTGATGTTGTGAAGTCTCTCCCGTTTTCTTCCCCGGTGTCCTCCACGCTCCACGCGCAGTCTATTCAGTCACGTAGCCCCCTCGCGCTCCAACTGCGTCGCCCTCAAAAAGAAGATGATGCAGAAGAGGACGCCGCTTCTGGCGACGCTGCAATACGAACCAGGTGCTAAAAATATCGATTCCTTGCCGTGGGAGGCTGACTCCTCTCTGCTGCTGCTGCTACCGCCGCCGCGCGTCAGGAGAAGGCGTGAACGCGCAGGCAGGAATCTCTGTGGGGGGGGTCGAGAGAAGCAGGAAAGACAGAGGAGAGAGAGGGGATGGAGGGCGCCGCAGAAGATGTCCCGCTATATTACAGTTCAGATAGTTCATCTAGTGGCGGATGCTTGGTGTGTTTCATTTACTTTGAATCGTTATTTAAATTAAAAAAAAAAAAAAAAAAAAAAAACTTTTTACATATTTGTTAAAACTGTCAATGTGACAGTATGAGACACAATCTGAAAATAATGTCTCCACCTTCTTCCTATGATCCTGCCATATGCAGAAATGCACTGCTCGGTCAAAAACAACCAATCAGCCAGCAGGACTGTTTAAGTGCTGTCAATCAACCTCATGTATGTAGTGGAACTACTTTTTTCACATATTATCCATCTTATATTGTCACTATATGTAAAAAAAATATATATATATACACACACACACATCTTAAAACAAGCATGATAGAAACTCTGGGTATGTTTGAAGTAATATAACAAAGCTCAAAAGCCAATTTCATATAATACTGCCCCTTTAATTGAAACATACCCAAATATTGTAGGACAGGCAAGTTAATCATTTAGCAAATCAAGATTTTAGGGAAGTTTATAATTTAAATAGTTTTAAATGATCTGGATTATTCATTAAGGTACAGAGGTGGAGTCACATGCTGCTCATCTTATGAGTTTTTAATAAGAAAAAATCTGCAGTCATTGCAGCCTTTGGACTACAGAGTTCAGAGTGATGATACATGCTCTTGACACAGACGGACACATGCAACTTTAAATGTAATTTTATTAAATAGCCATAGCTGAACAGCAGCAAACCATTTGAAAAGTGCATAAAGGTAAACAATTGAAAAAGTTGAAGCAGTTACCCTAAGATAGCACATCAACCCAGTCTACAAGAGCACTTTAACTAGACAGTAGTCACTTTAATGGGATGTCTGGAAAATCTGAAGTTCTCCGATTCTTCTTGTTGATTCTAGAACCATTTCCACAAAGTCCATTCAAAAACATGGGGGAGAAAGACTCAAGTTTCCTGAAACTGTGCCCTAAACGACTCAAGTATTACAACATACTGTGAAACTAACAAAGTTGAATTTTTGATGCCCAGTCCTTGTAAAACATGACAACTAAAGGCATGCAGAACAGAAAGTAGTTTCCAGTTTCAATCTTGTTGGCACAAAAGGTGTTAAAGCAGTTGAAGTTTGACAGATGAACATAGAAACTTAATGACATGCACAGGTGATGTTCAACAGATCAGTGGCATTTGTGAATCCTTTTCAATAAGCTTGGAACACTGGCAAAATAAAGTTCAGAGTTTTGTGCTAATGCTAAACACGTTACAGTTGAGGGGATGATGTATTCTAGTGCATAGTGCCTGCAGATGTAGGAGCACAGACCACTGCGGGTCATCTCAACAGTTTGCAATGTAAATGCTGTAGAACAATGTCGCTTACAATTTGTTTGAGTTAGTCACAAGATCATTTAAGACTGACAGAGAGCCACAGCTGAGAAGCGGACTTCGTCTTTCTCTCGTTCCATGAAGCTGCGGCACACTTTGGCTGCATCCTGCAGACAATAAAAAACCCAAAGTGGATTCTTGTATTTCAAAGTTCAAAAATGATTTTTACCCAGTTGATACCATTAGGATAAAATGAAAAATTTAATAGGGGTCTTTTGAATGTTTTTCATATACAACTCATAAGCCAGTTTGCCACCAAATGAGAACAATTTACACAAAATTTAAGTTTGTTTTTTTTTAGCTTACAGTGACAAAGGTCTCATCTTTGGTTGCTCCATGGTTCACCGGTCCATTCATCTTCCCATCTTTGATACAGAGATCGCTCCGTTACAAATCAACGTCAAAAACAAGATTAGGGTAAACCGTTACATGCTTACCAAATTCATAGAGTTGTCCGTTCACATTCACAAAGGCAATAAAGTGGAAGTTTACTTGTTCACCTTCTGGCTGCATTAGAGAAAAAGTGTGTTGACAGTAGTTTATCTCAGAACTCATTAATACTAGTATTAATGTACACAAGGATAAAAGTTTCTGGTTTAAAGGTATGACTCCAATCTATCAAACTGTTTCCACAGTCTATAGATGCATCTTACCCGGCATTGTCCCTCTTTTGCAACCTCATTGTGAACCTCACAGATTGCCTAGAGGAAGACATTTGACAGGTTGTGTCAATGTTAATAATTCAACCTATAGCACCCCCATGTGGCAGAAAAAAACTGGCAGCTAATCAGTTTACACATCTTAAAACAGGCATGATAGAAACTCTGGGTATGATAGAAACCATGCAAGATTGACAATTTGCTTTGGATCAATTTTGGGTTCATGGAGAAAAAAAAAAAAAAAGTTGTTCTATTTATTGAAAAACCAACTGATGGACATGTTATAAAGTATTTCTCTTTAGTCTGTACATTACCTTGTTTCCCTCCAGATGTTTGGAACGCTCATCTGGAGACATGCCAGCCGTCTCATCTAGAAAGGTCTTCAGGACTGAGCCGTTCTCTAAACACCACATTTATCAAGTCAGCAAGGCAGTCGGTTCAAGCACAGTCATTGCTACATTTTATTTGATCTGCTCCGAGACGGGTGAATGTCTGTTGAATATTTCATAAGATTAAAATTGACTAGGCATGGAAGACCCAAAAAGACAAATGAGAAGTTCAACCATGGGTGGTTTTGTAGGAATACTTTGGAGATTAAAATATATCAGGGATTCCCCCAGGAAACATAGTAAGCCTGGTGGGAGGGCAGTCCACCATGGTTAAAAAGTTATGCTAAAAAAATTTAGAGGTGCATGATCAAATATTTGGAAATTGTATTGCAAGACCAAAAAGCTGGTGCAGCACAACTGATTGTCAACCCCCAAAGCCCAGATCAATTTGTCAACTATAAGCCTAGCTTAATTTGACTATCACCAATTTATAAAAACCCTATATAAAAATGTTTAGCCTAGTGGGGTCGCAAGTAAAGTCTGGTGACCCACCAGGCTTATAATAAACCGGGGAAACACCAATTTAGAATTGTTTTTGTGAAGTCATTAAAAAAATTTAAAAAATCACATTTTGCACAAAAGGGACATGAATGTACACATGCTCTAGAGACCACCCAAAAAATGTGAAATGATTTACTTTGATTATTCTAGTACTGTCGGATCCTGATTGGCCAAGGTTTTTCAAGTTTTGGTTTGCAACCCTGTCAAGGGAAACGCTTCCTATTAAATAGCATTTCAAAGTTTAAAAGGGTTCAAGCTTCAAGCTTGTGTAAAATCCAGGAGAAAAGTCACATTTGTCTGCTCGAAATAGAGTTGTTGCAATATTACAACTCTGGGTCTTACAGGGTTGAAGTATTGCTTACATACAGACCGGGCCTGGGAAAAAGCAGTTTCTCATGTCAAGTGCCAGCTTCTTCCTACTGTTGATCAAGACTCAACTTGTAGATGCAAAGCACCAAACACCTCAAATTACAGTTTTCCTTCAGCCTAATCACAAAAAAGATGAACCCTTACTGCTACAAAATATGAAAAGGTTTTTATTGCTGCACTCACCAAAAGTCATTTTGGCCTTATTGTTGGCGATGGCATGCACCAGGGCAATTGTGCCACAGGAATTAGAGGCAACCTGCTTCAGGAAGTATACGTCAGAGCCTCCTGTAACCTTGTTCGCCTGCTGGATCCTGAACTCCTCATGCTGCCATGCACAGATACAGAGTTAGTCCGATTTCATCTGCAGCCAACTCTGCTTCACACAACAGTTGGTAATGATCATTCATAGCTTCACTGAATGAAAACGAGGATGTCCGTTCTATATCTGGGAGGCATTTCAAGTTTGTGCAACGAAGCAGTTTATCAAGAGAAATCTGAAGGTTTAATCATTTCTGCAGGCAACAAATGACAGGCAAATTTCCACCAATTGTTCATAATACAAGTCCAGGTTACACCACTTAAAAAAAAAAAAACTAGTCATAGGCTTATAAATAATTTTCACAATAGTTACAAAAAGGAACCAGGAGCTCTGACACTACCTGTTGGTTCATGTTTTACACCCATCTGAAAAACCCATGTTTTTAACTCAAGAAAATGTAGCTTCCTTTTTTAAGGGTTTAAACATTTTGTCAACTCTGATACAGGAGCTTTAGAAAGGGTTACTTGCATATCCCCATATTCGTTGTGATAAATTGAAAGTGATTTAAACCACTTCTGAAAAATAATCTGAATGGGAAACAACCAGGGTTCAGTTTTCTAAGGTCTTCAGATAAAGTCTGACAGATTAGTTTAATACAGAATCCAATCTGCTGGACGTTCAGAGTAAAGCTGAAATTAGCCATCATGCCAACGTCATTCAAGCAAAATGAGCAGAAATTACTTTTCAAAAAGGAACCAGGAGATCCGACACTACCCGTTAGATAATGTTTTACACCCATCTGAGAACAAACCCATGCTTGGGGTTGTTTTCATTCACATTTTTGTACCAAAAATCCTTTATTCTGTAACAAACTTCCAGAAAATTGCAAACATCTGAAATACTGAGTGCCTTTAAATCAAGACTAAAAACCCAAAAGTTGCTTTAGAGAATTTAACAATTGATGTTTGACTTTATTGGTGGTTTGCAATGTTTCAACTTTCAGAGAAACTGCATTATCTCTGAAAATGCAGTTTGGGTTTAGCTAATCTTCATTTGCCAAACTCCTAACAGAATCCCTGAAATATATCATTTGTATTGAATTGATGAGTTTAAATTTTATTATTATAATCATCAGAGAGATTGGCCTTTAATGGCCTATAGATCAATCTGGTCACAAGACGTCTGGTGATTCACTTCCTGACCATCAGTCGACTCCCAGCATGTCAGACTGAGTCTTCAGATTCTTACCCCTCTCTCCCTGCCTGCCCAGCCATCCCACCCAAACAGCCCCCAGCCTTCCAGCTCGCCTTGAATTACCTGTTGCGTCAGGGGGAAGAGCAGCATCAGGGCACAGGATGGCTTCGGGACGGCGGTTAGCTGCTCACCCTCCAGACCCAAAATATCCACGAAACGCCAGTGTCCACTCACACCGAGCTTGCTCATAATCTAAAACACGTAAAAGTCGTTCATTAAGAGCGAACAGCTTCACACCTGGAAGTAAATGAGAGTGATATGTCGACAGAGGCGACTGGAAGATGCTAGGTCGGGGTCCAGACCACACCCTGCAGCCCAGACAGGAAGGATGCTGTCGCCCTTTAATATCTCTCTCACTCTCACACACACACACACGCTTCTACCGCTCGTTGCTTACAAGAATTTATTAAATACGCCACAATAATAAGTCAACGTCATATTTATCAGAAACCTGTCGGTACTCTGTTTTCAGTGCAACAGTCCTGACTTAAGAGTTGCTGTGAAACTTACCTGACGGTTGGATTTAACGGTTACCAACTGACGCCATTATTGATTCTAACGTTTAATACCAACCTTGTTCAGCATCTAAAATAAAATTAAAACAAAATATTAAAATTCACGTTTCTTGTTGCAGAACACAAACTATTAACGGAGTAGCCGTTTTCCCCACCTCGGGGTTGATTTCCATCGCAGTCCACTCCATGTTCAGAAGGTTTGGCAGTGACTCAGCAGATAAACCGTTAGAATGGAAAACTTCCTCTGATTTCAGACCGGTCAGCGGGAGCGAGTGGCGCACCCGACATTTATAGCCCGGATCAAACCATTCACCAGCAGACGTACGGGGGGACTTTCGGAAAGAATAACTGTTGGTGTGCGCATTTATGATTAAAATACAGCTAAATGCAAATAGCAAGCTTTGTTTACCATTCTTCTAAACAAAATAACATCCAAAAACCAATCTTCACTGTTGTGAAAAATAATTAGATGAAAGCTAGATGCCGCCTCTTTCTCCCCCCGGAACACAGTGGTTGAATCTATTTCTGGAAACAAAGGTGTGACGTATTGATTGCTTCAGGGTTCATGTCAGAGCCGAACTTCTCTTCTGCTTAATGAATTCAATTGTATTTGTTATTCTCTCAACTCGAGTATATTACTGTCCGTGGCTGCATATTGTCGGTTTGTAAATAAAGCTTTTAAAAAAAGAAGTTTCATATCTGCTTCTGATTTAAAAGATACGACGTGGAAGAAGGTTCAAGAAGGAGGGGAATGGCGGTAATTTCAAACAAATTCAGCTGGAATCTATCTATCTATCTATCTATCTATCTATCTACAATAAATGCAACAGTTGAAATAATACAAATAAGAGATTAAAATAGATTAAACATTAAAAGTAAGGCAGAAATAATTCTATATATAAATGCAAATTTACATTCATAATGTCTATCTATCTATCTATCTATCTATCTATCTATCTATTGTTGAGAATGAGAATCTCAATCGATGAATCATAATTTGTATTGACACACGGAGCATAAAATCAGCCAAGAAAAGCATTCAGACTTTACTTATTTTATTAACTTTCAGCGCTGAAAGGAGACGCTTTACCATTACATCCGAGAAGTTTCTAAAAAGTCTGTGCAGCGTCTGAGGAGAAAGAGGAGGGCAGCTGATTATATGAACTGAAGACACTCCCTGAAATCACACCATGTCTCTGTGGCCTGATAAGTTTCTGTTTCTCATGAGGAAATGGGCCTTGGTGTCTAACAGAATCAAAAATGTAACTCTTTACTATGGTCCCTTTGTCTAACACCGTGTGACTCTTTCTCGGCCTTGGTGAAGCGTCTCAACACCATCCATCCATCCATCCATGGACTCATTTTCAGTGCGTTTTATTTATGTATTAATTTACTTATATGCTTACAATGAAAATCACATATAAACCACGTATACATTTCCACTCATTTGTTCAGGAAAAAATGAGACAAATCAAATCTATTATAATTTATTATTGAATTTAGCACATTACATTATTAATTTTAATTTTAATAACTGGTTTCTGATATGGAAATTACCCAGACACATGCTTTAATATTCGGGCTGAACCCAACACCAACCACCGACATTCTTGAAAAACGACAACAATTCTCTTAATAAGACAATGTTACCAAAACGACCAGACTATTTGAGACATACTTAGAAGAAGACACTTTAGGACAAAAAGATTTCGGAAAGTAACAACGCAAGAGATATTTTTGTTGACTCTTCTTTAAATGAGTCAGCTACTTTTCTCACTTTCGCTGGTTCGCAACTCTGTCCGCTAGATGGCGCTGTAACCAAGTATGAATCAAGTTTGAACAATGACCTTACCTGAAACAATAGCATTTTTTTCAGTTTGAACTTTTAATTTGTAGTTCTTTGTTTATTGCCTAATGAGAACGTAGTGCTTACCCAACATGTTCATTATTGTAATTTGTTTGATACTTACCTGTATTTTCACTATTTTTATATGACAAAATATTAACATAAATGTAGGAAGAGTGTATGTTTATTTTAACTGTACATATTTCCGTGCCAGATGACAACTATATTGAGCAGTTTATGGCTCTTCTGTCCTCACTTGCATACATGACCAACAAACAAACAATATACACCTGGAAAAAAAAAAGACCTCAACTACTCACCAAAAGTTATACACCCTGAAATTAGGGTGAAGTTTCAGGGTATATCTAAAATGCACTATGACCCTTTTAGGTAAACTCAACATGACCTGCTCTAAACTTTGAATGCACATGTCCAACTGCTCAGTGTTTTGTTCGTCTGTTCTCTAACAAGCAGCTTAATGGTAAAATGCAATGAATCAACCAATAAATGTCCAGGTTGTTCACATCATGAGAGCAGCTGCTACCTGTTAAATCCTCTGTCATTGGTTCTCACCTCCTGTCTGCTCACAGAAAAACAAAGAAAGACATAAATGGATATTTAAACCTTTGCTTCTCTTCAAATGAAACCCCTCTTCTGTTATATTGTGTTATATTGTATAATCTGTAACACCTGGGACTTTTTATTGGCTCTTTTTAGTACCTTCTCTGTACTGTGACTATGTGTCAATATTTTAACTGTCATCTTTCTAAATATGATGTGCTGTGCCTCAGAAAAGTACTGCTTAGATCAAAGTGTGTTCGTGTTTTGTTGTGGCCCAGTCATAACAAAACATGACTGGGCCATATTATCACACATTCTTACTAAGAATGTGTGATAATATTTTAAAAAAAAAGGATGTTCACAGACATTTTTCACATTTTTAATTGCAAAAACAAAATGAAAACTATGTTTGCCATTCAATATTCTGAGTTGGTCAATCAGATTAAATCCATATAAAATATATTGAACAGCAATGAACACACTCTCTTCAGGGATGTGCCTGTCTGGAAGTCTTTTTGTTTATATGGTGATATATCAGTGGGAGGATTTTCAGCATACCAGTCCACAAGGCTCCACATTGTTTCCCTTAACAATGCCAATCAGCATAGTTTGTTTCCATGGCGATATTCTTCATTGACAAGAGTCTGATTTTGTTTCCTCATCACCTCAATACAATTTAGTTTTGAGCTGAACATCATGTTGAACATGCGGCTTTATGTGACCTATTTTATAACCTGCAGTGATGCCCTCTAGTGTCTGTATTAATGTGAATGTTTTCTGCCTGTTAGCCTATGATATTTAACACTAATGAATATTTATAGACTTGCTATCAGGTGTCAGTATGCTGTATGGATCAATCCTCCTGTTTCACGTCTGGTTTTATCAAATCACATCCTGCCATAAGCAGCTATAAAGCTCTTTTGGTTTCAGTTTCCTGCTATATGGAACCGATTCTTAAACTTGAAAAACAAGTTTAAGAATCAACAAGTATGTAGCCCAGGAGTTATAGAAGACAATCGAATTGTAGGTGAATGTGGATTTTTGAATATTCTTTTTTTTTGCAGCCTCAGAGTTACACATGAAATAACCTAATAGTTATCAGGTGGTGAGGAAAAACATCTCCAGGCTAAATGAATGTCAGTCCTACCAAACCTAATTAGGTTTTAGGTACAAAATTATGTTGTTTTTTTTTATCCACCTAATTTTGTTTTCTGACAAAACAGCCTTCACTGCAGCTTTAACAGGATGAGGTCTTCATGCATTTGGCCCCATATTGAAGGCAGCACTGGAGATGTCTTTGTGAAACATGCAAAATAATGTAAAACTGGAAATCAAATGAGTTTTCCTAATTTTTCCCAATTTATTTATATTTTATTATCTCAGACTTCAATCATTAAGACTCTAAAATGACTTCTAATCTGAGGAGATAAACCTATGTGTGTGCATGCAGTACCTCACCCAAATAATCATACTACAAATCACTTTGCCTTTTATTTGGATTCTTTTTTTAGGTCAGACCAGCACAAAGAAGCGTACAATGGTGAAATGTTTGGGGAAACTATAAATGGTTTGCAGAATTTTGCTCAAGTAATAATCTGAAAAGTTTTGCATTCTTTTGTTGCCTTCACTCAGCTCCCGTTATTCTCAAACTTCCCAGTGCACTCAGTGGTCTGTAAAGAGGTCAACTAATGGTTAAATTAAGCCCAGCTGGGAGTAAATATTCTCAGTATTAACGCAGGGATTCCGTGAAGCTCTCCTGAGGTTTGTTTGAGAACATTGCCAAACAAAATCAACATGCATCATTTTATTTCAACTTCATGATTATACACTTTGTGTTGCCTTATTATGTAAAATCACATCAAAAGGTTTGGCAACGGGAGAGTATGTGAGAAAGTTCAAAGGAATATGTATGTCAAAGGAATATGAATACGTTTGTGACGCACTTAACTGGACAGAAGGCACATGAAAAAAAAAAACTTTAAAAGAGCTCCAGAAAACTTTAAAATATGAAACGCCGGTTCTATGACAACCGCATTTCCCAGAATGCTTTTAGAAGAAGCTGCGTGGCGTCATGGGACGCACCTGGGTGTGGTCCGTGCACTACAGAGTTTATGTTAGTGGGTTTCCTCCTCCCGTCCTTCTCTCCTCTCTGCAGGCTGCGCTCGGAGCTTCTCCTGACGGCTACAGCTCAGCGGTAAGTCCCGCTTACATCCGGTTCAGATCCGGCTCAGCTGCACAACTTTAGGAAAACTTTCTGCGCATCTACAGCGAGACAGGGATAGGAAAAATACCTGTGAGGATTAAAAAGAAGAAGAAAAGAAAAGAAGGAAAAAAGAAAAAACAAACAGACATCTGGTTCTGGCAAGGTTAACAGCTGCCTGACCGCAGAGCAGGCAGAGCAGGAAACACGGTTAAAGCTGATCGAATCTATTATTAATGGATGTTCAGGTCAACGTTTTGATTAACGCTCCTGTTTCTCTGCAGATCATCTTGAAAAACCTCCGAAGATCTTCAAAATGGTAAGTTCTTTCATTACAGCTATGACTAACGTCAAAAAAAAAAAAAAAAAAAAAAAAAAAAAAAAAAAAAAATATTTTTAAAAAAAAATAAAACAATAAAAAAAAAACTTTTTTTTTTAAAAAT